TTACAAAAGAATGAAACTGATTATCACCTGTACTTACCGTGAATTTGGTAGCTAGCATGAAAAAGCGTACAGCTGCACTTATAGAGTCAGATGATGATTACACAATATATTAATTTTAGTTAGTTGATTATGTATTTTTTAAATAAAAAAAAATTTTTGAATTTACTTACTTGTAGCCGGAGTTAGAGGCGGTCGAATACTTATGACTGCTACTGTATATAATATATGTGATATACAATCAGTTTTTTGAGATATTCAAAAACATTTGATTCAATATAAAAATGATGATAAATTTTCATAATATATAATGAAAAATGCAATTTATTAAAAATTAGAAAAGTATTTATCAATTTTAGATGAATTATCATAAATTTTTTTATTATTATATCTAAAAGTAAAGCTATTTGTATTTATAAATGAAATGAAATTAATAAATTAAAAGACTTAATATTAAAGTTAAATAGGTATTTTTTAATATTTACTTTAATTATAGTATTTATATCAGATAATATTAGGTATTTAATAATACTATTAGAAAATCAAATTGATTTTTTTTATAATGACAATCACAACAACAAGATTTCTAATTTTAAGTCAAATAGTAAGAGATTATTTGTGTATTTAAGTTATAAATGTAGCTTTAAAACAAGTTTATTCATTGCTGGATAGTTATTTTACCATTAAGAAATAGAAACAACTAGAGCAACATTATGTTTAAAGAGTTAGTTTCGTCAAGGAGTTTGTGAGAAATAATATAGTTAATGTAGAAAACATTAATTAATAAAGAAGAAAGGAACATTTTTTTTTAATATTAATCAATTTTATTTAGTATATAATTTTTATATTTGTATTTATTTATCCTTTTAATTGTTTTGTTTACAAATTTGCAAGCAATTTTATTTATTAATTAAAATTATTTTTAATTATTTTAAATATTTAAAATATGTTATTAAAAAATTAATACTTTAATAATAAATTTTATGATGTTTCTAAGTAAAAATTAAAATTTTAAAACTCATATATCTTACTATCTATTAATTTCAAAAATATAAGAATACTATCATTTAATAGTTTTTTAATGAGATGAATCCAATAAACTAAATTTTATTTTTAAATAATTATTACATAATGCTATTTTTAAAAATTGAAAAATTGAAAAATTGATAATTATTAATTTTAAAAATTTAAGATATTATTATTAGATGTATTTTAATATGACAAATCTAATAAACTTTATTTCATTTTTTATCAATTTTATACTTAAAAATTTAAGGGATAATAAAAACGATTTATTTTTAGTCTTCTATAAAATTAAACTTTAATACTACTATATATGCTAACTAAGGACGGTCTTATAAATCGGTCTGGACCGAAACGGAAAAATATTTTGGACCGGACCGGACCGGTAGGACCGAATATGCAAAGACCGGTCCTCCTAGGACCGACTTATGAACCGGTCGGTCCTAAGAAAGATGAAAGACCGGTTTTTTTTGGACCGAACCAACCCTAAATATAAGGCCAATACCTGGTCAGATAAATTCAAGCAAAAATATGATTTATCACTTGCAGAATCTCCAAAAAAAGTAAGATTAATCATCTTTTTATTTTGTCTTTTTACTTTTACTTTAACTTAGGCTTTAGTTGCGGGAAGGATTTTCAGACTTAACAGTTTTATGTCAAGATCTTAATTACGATTTTTACTGGGCCGTTAATGAAACCGGAGAAATTCTTGATAAGAATATGATGATCATCTTGAAGAACGCGAATCTATGGAAAAGGTTGTACACCAAAAAGTGGTATATCTATCGATTCTAACACTAAAATAACATATTTACAAGGCTATTATATCAACTATTAGGTTGATAATAAATAAGTTTATGGTGCTTATCGACCCGTGCTTCCGCAACATGAATATAATAATGTAAGGATGTTGAAAGAAGTACAAATATTCATGGGAAGGTACAAGCAATTGAAAGTTCTATTTCGAGAACCAATACGGTTATCGTTGAATGAATTAGCATATTTATTTAAAAAGAAAGCTATTTGTACTAATGCAGATTACAAAATCAAGAAATTGAATTTGTAACCCCGTCAATAAAGTCATTTAATTGAAGACAAAACCCCTAGAAAAGGTCACAAGCCGAGAAATTGAATTGCTTTGTAACACATCATTTATTATGTGGATCCAATGTGGATTGAAAATTTTTCGGCGAAAAGAAACATTTTTTTTTTTGCATAACCCAAATGTCTGTTGTTAGTAAAAACAGTTGTTAAAACATGAGAAACTTACAGAATGTTTCTAAATGTGGAGTGCGATCATAATGTTTAGAAAAAAAAATAAGGTTATTTTACAATTTATTTAAATTGAAATCACAAATCAAATTTTAATATATTTTTAGTTGAAGACAGAATGAATTGACGATCTTTAGATTAGGTTTAGTTCACTTTTGAAAAAAAGAAAAAATTGAAAAATTTTATGCACAAACAAAATGTAAAAAGGAGTTTGTTTGACCTGAGGTGGTGATGAAACTATGCATTAAATAAATATTGGTTGATTCGATCTTTTTTTTTTCATAGATGTAACAAATTTGAGATGATTTCCTCGTTTTTTTTGGGCGTTATTTCACAATTTTCTGCTAATGCACTTAATAAATAATATCCTTAAAAGGTAAATAATTAAAATTAATATTTGTGAAAATCACATACGAATTTGTACCCAAAACGAACTGTAAATCATTCCATCTTTACTCCTATTTTTCGCGGTTATAAAACCATCCTTTTGTTCTCTCCATCTACCTTACCTCCCAACCTTCCCTCAACTATTCACTTTACAAATAAATACCCTTTTTATTAGCCATATACCACTCGCTTTGCAAAAATGAGGACATTCTTCGTTACATACACTGCTTTCGCTTTCATAGCTTTAACTTCTTTCTCATGCACAAAAGGTATGTATTTCTTGTTTTAAGCCCAAGTTATAATGTTTATGATGTTAACTTTTTCCTTTAATGGGTAAACGAATAGCGCAAACAACAGCAAAGAATCCAGACCTTCCGGATTTCCAGTACAATCTCACAGTAAAAACCGAACCAGAGCGAATTTCACTTTGCGACGCAAACAAGGGCTTCTGTCAAACAAATTGTGGTGGACCCGAAAAAGTACGTGTATGAAATGAAATTTCACTTCTTTTTTCAATTAATTAATTATCATTCTAACTTTCTTCCCCCTAACTTCTCAACCAATTAGGCTCCGATGGTATGTTGATGTAATAATTCAATTCTAAATTAGTTGATTTATTCATCATGTTAATTTAACATTTTTATTTTAGAACTTTTGCAATTCGACCACAATGGGATGGGGATGCGGATGTATTGATAAAGTTCCAGATTATTTAGGTTACCAATGGCCAATTAATTATGCCCATTGTATCGGTTCAGGAGAAGCATGTAAAGAAGCATGTGGTTTACCTAAGGTCCTTCCCGATAACAAACCAAAATGCAATAATGCTTGTATTGCAGAATATTCTCAATTGTGTGGCACACCAAAACAACCTCCTGCCTATTATAATGTTGCAGATATCGCAACTGTTCCAACGTATGCTCCACCGGTTGAAGGTGCCAAGGGTGGAAATTCAACCGACGGTAAAACTGGCAACGGTGGTTCAAATGGTGGTGATTCTGGATCTGATTCTGAATCAAAGAAAAGTGATGCTTCCTCATTAAATGGTCATGTTGGAAATGCTGCAGTTGCTTTAGCTATTGTCTTTTCTGGAATGTCCTTATTTTAAAAAATTAATTTAATATTCGTAATTTACTTTTAAAAAATAATATATAATATATAATTATATAATAGATTTAATTTTTTTTTTTTTTGATTTTATTTTAACGATAATTATTACCTAATATAATAAATTGTTCTTAAAATAAATTGTTATTTTTCACTGCTTAGCAAAAATGTCTAAGCCAAGAAGAACCGAGTTTTTTTGATGCATTCTAAGCCCAGTTTAGCCCAGTTTAAATGGTGCGTCCTTAGCCCCATGCTTTTTCCCGAAATAAATTCTTATCCAAATAAGGAAATTATTTTTGATCTTTTGATTGGCAAATAATCTTTGTAACTTACAGTTAATTCAAAAGCCACCCAAAAAACCGACTTTTATATATATAAAAAAAAAACAATCTTTTATTTCTAACTATTAGATCCCCACTTTATACTTTCTTTTATATACACAATTACTTTTCTTTTAACTGCTTCATTTCCAATTAAAAAGTCCTTTTGATTACCAAATAAATACCTTTTACATATAGATTGATTTATTTATTAAGAAAATTGTAATTCTACTCTTTTTCACCCTAGATTAATTCATTTACAATAAAACTAATTTACTTTTAATCGAAGCAACTTACCGTCGTTGCCAACAATGTCTCCGCCATCTGTTGAAACAACTGACATCACGAAGCCTACCACTACTACCTCCATCATTACTACATCTGAGATCCATATGGATCCCGATGTTTCCGTGTCTTCCGATGGTGATTCCTCTGATGAGAAATCTCTTGTTAATAAATCAAGTGACGAATCAGCTCATTTCCGCCCATCACACCACCATCTTAAAGCTCCCGAATTGAAGCGTTCGGCTTCCGTTTCCTCTTTCAGTTCTTACGCGTCTTCTTCTCCTCCCGATACTCCTCCCTTTTCTTCAACCAACATCGATGCTAATTTTATTCTGGATAAACGAAACGCGTTAGCATTAGGTGAATCGGGTGCTTTGGCTCAAAATTGGTTTACTTCTGGTTCATTGAAAGCCGATGGTAAATGGTTTAAGGATGAACAAGGTCGTATTTGTTTATTACGTGGCGTTAATTTATGTGGTAATTCTAAATTACCCACTAAACCTGATGGATCCAGTCATTTAAGTGAAGGATTTTTTGATCATCGTAACGTTTCTTTCGTGGGCAGACCTTTTCCACTTGAGGAGGTTCATCAGCATTTTGCTAGATTAAGAACTTGGGGCCTTACTTTTGTTAGACTATTGGTCACTTGGGAATCATTGGAACATGCCGGACCGTAAGCAATTTTAATGTTAAATTTTTGAAATTATAGGAGAATTTATTAGGAATCAATTGAGTATCAAGCAAAATGGTTTATTATGTTAACAATCTTGTAGGGGTATTTATGACGAAGAGTTCATTGATTATCTCATCAATGTCATAGAACAGATGCCTCGTTATGGTATAAAATGTTTCATAGATCCACATCAGGATTGTGTAAGTTACTCATATTTAGAGAATGAAAGACAATAAAAAAAAAAATTTTTTTAAATTGCAAAATTTCATAATAACAATTTTTTCCCTCTTTCATTTACATAGTGGTCAAGGTTTTCGGGTGGATCAGGTGCTCCGGGATGGACCTTTGAGGTTGCTGGTCTTGACATGACAAAATTTAAGACCACGGGTGCTGCTTACGTCCATAATATGAATCATAAACCTGGTGATTCATTGCCAATGGTGTGGCCAACTAATTATACTAAATTAGCTAGTAGTACCATGTTTTCTTTATTTTGGGGTGGTGATGTGTTTGCTCCCAATTCAACTTGTGAAGGAGTAAGTGTGAAAGAATTTCTTCAAACAAAATATATAAATTGTTATAAACATTTAGCAAGGTAATGTAGAGCTTTAACGGAATTTTTTTTTTTTTTTTACATATCTTTAAAATTTAATTAAACTTTTTTTTAGTCGGCTTCAACATTTGGAGGCAGTTATGGGATTTGAATTGATGAATGAACCTCATCAAGGGTATATTGGTTTAGCAGACTTACATCGGTATGATGAAGGGAAAACCCTTGTATTTGGAGATTCGCCATCTGCCTTACAATCATTTGCTCTTGGCGATGGTATACCACAAGAAATTGAAGTATGGATTAAATCATGGCCATTTCCCACCCGTAAAGATAAAACACGTCTTATTAATGAAGAACATGAATCCGCTTGGCTAGATGGCAGTTGTATATGGCGTCAACATGGTGTTTGGGACGTTGATGCTAAAACTGGAAAACCAAAAGTTTTGAAAAAAGATTATTTCTTAAAGCATCCAAAAACTGGAGAAAAATTGGAATTCTACAAAGATTTTTATTTACCTTTTGTCAAGAGATACGCTGAAGGAATTCAAAGCGTTAACAAAGAATATTTTGTGTTCGTTGAGCCACTTCCAAATGAGGTATGCTTGTATTTTTTAATTAATGTTTAGTTATCATGGTTATTATTATTAAAATTATAATTAAAAAATTTTTTTTTTTCATTTCAAGCCTCCACCAAAATGGACACCAAGTGATCATCACAATAATGTTATATTTGCACCCCATTGGTATGACTTAAAAGCGTTATTTACAAAAACATTTAATGGTAAAATAACGCACGATGTTCAACGTTTAACAAGGGTACGATGATAAATTAATCACTTAGATAATCTTGTCCTTTCAACATGGTTAATATTTCATTTATTTAGGGAGCGCATCATATAGCAGCAGCTACATTTTTCGGTATATCCGGAGCAAAAAAAAATTATTCCGGACAAGTTCGAAATATAATTAAAAATGGCCTTCAATATGTAGGAGAAAAACCCTGTGTTATTGGAGAGTGTGGTATACCTATGGATATCAATGAGAAGCAAGCCTTCTTAACTAATGACTGGGCGCATCATAGTAATTTCTTGGATGCTGTATTATGCGCCATGGAAAAGAATCTTGTGAACTTTACGTATGTTAATAATTGTTTATAGATTATATTTGCTATTTGAACAACCTATTTCCTAAACCAACACTATTTTATAGCTTATGGAATTATAATCCAATAAATGATAATACACACGGTGACCATTGGTACGGTGAAGATTTTTCGATTTTTTCTCGTCCTAATAACGAAAAAACCATAACAAAAACTACCACCATTACCAAAGGAAGAAAGGTACATGTAGATGAAAATCCAGTAGATGGTACAAGAGAGAAAAAAATTAAGGTTCAAAGTCTCGAAATACAAACAAATTTCCAAGACGCACTTAACATTTCACCTAATGATTCTAATGAAAAAAGTGAGAATACTTTTGTAAATAGTGAAATAAATGAGGAGTGTGAAATTAGATCTGATTGTACAGACATTACTGCTAATCGTGCAACAACATCTCCTACATCGCCTTTCGATTTAACTCAATTACATTTTTGGGAACAAGATGATGGATCCGATTATGAGTATTTTCATCAAGGTGGAAGAGTTTTGGAAGCAGTTTTGGTAAGTACAATTAGCATATTTAGAAGTGACCGAAATTTTATATGTATAAATTTTAAGAATTTCCTTTTTATTTCTTAGCGACCGTATGCAGCCAAAGTATCAGGAATCCCACAATCTATGAACTTTAATTTAAAGAAATTAGAATTTACATTTAAATTCACAAATTATCCATCATCGCAACAATTATATAGCATAACAGCACCAGAGACAGAAATTTATATACCGAATTATCATTATAAAAAACTTTTACTTGATATAAGAGTTTCCGACGGAGATTGGAGATATGTTAAAAGTAGACAGACATTATATTGGCGAGTTAAAGATTGGAAAACCGAGGGAGTTGTGCATACTTTGAGAATTAGAGTTGCAGAGAATTCAAGAGAAGGAGTAGAAATATCAAATATTGGTGAATTATCTTCAAATAATTCGAATAAAAAGTTGGAAGATGATGAATCCAAGACATACACAATTTGGATAGCTGGTGCAGTAGTTGTGGCTGCCTATTTGTGGGTACATTCTTTAATGAATGTCGAATTTGTATAATATTCATAGATAAAATTTGGGGGATTGTAAACATTTTCATTTTTTTTAATTTTAAATATTGGGATGGATATAACAAAAATAACAAAATATATACAGTATTAGGAAAATTTAACCACGATGATTTGGAAATAATAATGACAAGCAAAAGACAAAAATGTTTAGAATAAATTATTTATAGATTTTTTTTTTTTTTTAAAAAAAAAAAAAATTTTAAATTTAAAATAATAATAATAATAATAATATAATAATCATAACGATTTTATTAAATAAATTGTTTGATCAAAATTAAAAAATACAATTTGATTTTTTATTTTCTAAAAATTTATAATTTTATTATTATATAATGATATTTTATATTTTTATATTTTTTACTACTGAATTATATTTGATTTATTAAATTATTAACTTATTTTCAAAATCTTTTAAATGTTAAAGTAAAAATATTATTAAATTATTATATATATATATATACATTATAGTAATTTATTTTAGTAATGTGAATTTAAGACTATTATAATTTGATATAATAAATATATAGCTAAAAAACTAAAAATGATAAAAAATCGGTATTTATCAATATGAATAACTTGAATGATTTTAAAATATAATATAAATAAACTACATGAATTTTTACCAAGTTATTTTTGCTTACAATATTAATTTTTAGTTTTATGGAATTTAATAACTAAATAAAAGATAGATTGTAAAAAGTTAAAAATATCCCATTTTAAAGTTTAATTTAAGTGAATCATTTATGCAAATGATAAACAAATTAAGCTACTTTTTTAAAAAGGGCTAAAAATTTTTTTATCGCGTGATACCCTTTTTGGATTAGCATTTAATTAAATCCAATTAGGAATACAATGATGTAAGAAAATTCTTTTTTAAACGACTAAAAAAAAAAAAAATAAAAAAATAAAAAAAAAAAATTCATTCTCTCTCTCATTTTATATACATTTATGTATAATGGGTGAATGGGATAGAAAAAATTTAAAATAAATAAATTGAATAATACTTTTTATTTTATCATTAAATCCCTTAAATGGATAACATCATAAATACCATTCAATTAAACTATAAGACCAACAAGAAAGGATTGAAATATATCCCGATGTACGATCTACATGGTTATACTAAAGTACAAGCATGTCAAATAGTAAATAATGTAATCTTACAATGTTTTGAACTAAACATAAGTTCAATCAACTTTATTACCGGAAGGGGAAATCATCCAAATACGAATGGACAACGAGGAGTGCTTTTCAAAAATTTTAAGAATTGGCTTAAAGGTGATGAGATTAAAAAGTTGATTAGAACTTGTAAAGTTGGAGATGGATCTTACAAAGTTTATCTAAATATTAATAGAAAGGATAAGAATAAGAGGAAGAATAAGCAAGTTTCGATGAAAGTTGTAAATGATAAAAATGAATCGATTAAGGAAAATAATATTTTGATGACCCAAATTACGGATATCCTTTCTATTAAGAATGATTTAGACACGTCGTTGATTATAAAAGATACCCTGATAGATAGAAAAGAATCAAATTTTTTAATCGCGAAAGAAGAAACAAATCTTTCATTCATTAGAAAAGAAGAGTTTAGAATTCCTGTAGTTACGGAAGAATTAATTATTCCTGTAATTACAGAGAAAGAGTTAAAAATTCCCAAAATTACAGGCAATTCTGTAGATACGGAAGAATTAAACCTTAATCCCTTCATTAGTCAAGAAAACATGAATCCATCGTTACCAGTTAGTAATGAAGAATTCAATATGTCCTCAAGTTATAAAGTTGAAAACATCGCTTATTTGAATTCGAATGCACAACGTTTCCCCACATCTATTGCATTGATAAGTTTCAAAGGAGTTGAGACGTCATACGATCCGATGAAATCATTTCATTGGCGACTAGCAGCAAATCCACTCATTACGTATTGGAAGTTAGTTAAGAGATTTTTCCCTTCCAAAATATTTGATATCGGGTGTATTTTATTAAAAGAAAATGAGAAAGTAGGAATTAAATTAATTCAAGAAGCCGCAGAAAACGAATATGGAAAAGCCCAACTTTATCTTGGAGGGGCATATATAGAAGGACGCATATTCGAAAGAGATTACAACAAGTCTTTTGAATGGATTTTAAGATCTGCTCGTAATAATAATATTGAAGCAAAATTTTATCTTGGATGTATGTATAAATTTGGAATTGGATGTGAAAAAGATTACAATAAATCATTGTGTTGGTTTATTAAATATGCAAAGCATAATCATTCAGAAGCGCAATTTTTCTTGAGATATCTGTATAGATTTGGTCAAGTTGTTCAATTAACTCAAAAAGATGCTCTAAATTGGTTTATAATTTCAGCTGCAAATGGACAAGTTAATGCACAGTATATCCTTGGACAAATTTATGAAATAGGTTTATTAGGCGCGAAAGTAAATGGATTAATATCTTTAGTGTGGTATATTGAATCAGCGAAACAAGGACATTCGTTAGCGAGATATCGATTTTCAAAGATTACCCAATCTGAAATTAATTCTCAGATTAAATCCCAGCAATTCACAAAGAACTTCTTCTTGAAGTTAGTAAATATAAGTTATTTAACTATTTGTTACAAGAGAATAGAATCAAGTAGAAAACTTCATAATCTAGTTAAAGACGATACACTAGAAGTAACTTCCCCTATTCATTCATTTATTTCAGCCTTATTTAACTGTTTCTTAAGGATTCCGCTTATGTATTTTTTTTTATTTTTATTTGTTTATTCTTACTCGGGTCTTTGATGCTGAGAAATTGATTAAAATGGTAGAAACGTCACAATCGTGTCTTATTTTCTGCTTATCGTGTTTACCTTTTCATTATCGTTATAAAACAAACAAGTTTTCGAGTACACCTTACAAAATAAAATTTAAATGTCAGGAAAATCACTTTTTCTTCTGCTTCAACAAAAAAAAAAATATCCCATAAGCTAAAGAATTGGCACATTATTTATTCTTTTCTTTCGGTGAAAAATACTATCTTTAAAAACTTAAAAAACTTTACTGCCGTAAAACCTTAACTTGTTTGGTAACCTCTCATTCTTTTTTTATTAGTTATTTTATGTAGTTCCCGGTCATTTATCGATAATAGTTCTACTCTCTTGTCATTTCCGAAGCATAACAGATATTCCATTCTATTTCCCTTTCACAAAACTATCTCGTATTTAATTCCATCACTTTTTAGATAATTGATCTAGACTTCAAGATATTTTTCATAATAAAATGAATTCTTTTGTTGTTTTGAAATTTTTTTGATGAAAGGAGCTTTATTTTTTTTCGTTTAAAATTTTTTTTTGGTAGGAAGGCCAAAAAATTATTTTTTATTTAAAATGTATTAATTTTTCAATAAAATTTTTTTTTTTTTTCTATTTTAAAAAAACTGCATTCTGTTTAAAATGCTCGAGTCTCTTATGACAATTGAGAAAATTTAAAAAAAAAAAAAAAAATACGAATAGGAAGAATAGCCAATAGCTGATGCATGGTCAAGTTTTCAACGTATAAAATTATTTTTGCAAACCTTTGAAGAAGTGTTTCCATTTCTTTAAGTCCTCGCTTTTCAACTGACAATGAAAATTTCCCTCCGAGAAAAAATGCGGATTGAGTAATCAAAAAAGAAATATTTTGGAAAGACAATCCGGCCGACGTTATTTAACAGATTACCTATGAAAAGATAGTCACACTAATGCAAACATTTTTGGAGGAATTCAAATAGAAGGAAGAAGGATGACGATGGGTAATCGACGGCCATTGTAAAAAATTCTAAAATTAATCCTAAAAAAAAAAAAAAACTTTGTATTAAATATGGAAAAAAAACTTTGAAAGTTCTTATATTTGATCGAAAATGTTGTTTTTTTAAGGTAAGATCAGTGCGCATTCCTTGATATTTCAAGATAGATTATGATTTAGTAATTGACTTATTACGTAAAATTTAAATTATTGTTCAATTTCATTTAAAAATTGCTTTTTGAGATCACAATAACCAAAAAGAAAAAAAAAACGCCATCAATAAACTTGCTTTATAAATTCCAACAAACACACACAATAACCACTTCAAAAATTCTAGAAAACAATAACAATAACCAAACCAAAACACAATAACATGCAGATGATTTGCAAAAGAAATTTCCCAGAAAAACTTGAATAAAATCCTTTTCGAACAAACAAAAACAATGATTTCAACATGTAATTATTATTTATTTTTTTTTTTATAAAAGGAATCGTAAAATTATATTTGGAAAAATAATCTCTCGTTGCTACTAATAAAAATCCTCATCTAAATATGAATGAGCTCAATCATAACCATTTAAAAGCGATGAAGAGATTGTTATCCCTTAAATTTAATGTCGATCTTGACATATTGAATAATTCGAACACCACGCATAACGCGATATGAATCAGAAGAATGAGTACAAATTATGCTCCACGATCAGTCAATGCGCGGATTCTTTATCGTAGAGATACTATTTCGAAAATTAAGCCAAATGTGGAGAAACGAACCAAAAGAGAAGTTAAAGAAGCATACATTTAATGTCACTTTCTAAATTGGTTAAAAAAAGGATTAGGTGTTTAGGTGGATTAGGTTTTCTTTTCTTTTTTTTTTTTTTATTCATTTCTTTCTATAAATATTTTTTTAGAATAAATTTTGGCAATGTGTAATTTTGATTACAACAAAAAGACATTTGTGTAGAATATTTGATGTCTTTTTTGTTTTTTTTTGTAATAAAATTACACATCTTTTTTTTTAAAAAAAAATTTATAGATTCTTTTTTTTTTTAAAAAAATACAGTTAGTTGTAAATGCGTAATTTTTCTTACAAAAAAAAAAAATATTGCATATATTTTCTTTCGATTTGTGTAAGTAAAATTACGCAACTTCTTTCATGTATTTTTTTTTTTATGTCGTTTTATTTTTCTTTTTTAAGTGTATAATAAATAAAACCAAAGTTGAGGTTTACTTAGTTATAAATATAATAGATTGATACAATCAAATATAAACTTGTTTTCACTCGTTCCAATGCATTATATGAAGATTTGCTTTGTAGAAAAACTCCCAATGGTATGAATCTTTCATTAAAATTTCATAATTTATGAATTTCGGATATAAAAAATATTATCCGCCGTGAATAACGAAAACATAAAGGTCAATACCACTTCCAATTTCATTTATATAACGAATTTTCACAAAACAAATGGTTTCTTTGTAGTTTTAAAAAAAAAAAAAAAAAAAAAAAAAAAAAAAAGGTTCTTATAGTGTCGGCTTTTGAATTGTCGGGTTTTCAATAATCTTTTGAAAAAATTTATTGATCAACTTTATAAGGAATCTAAGCGAATGCCAAACAAACATTAAATAAATATGCTTTTTGATCGTAGAAACAAGTTGCACAACCGATAGACCTTTGCTTTTGTGCTTATCAACAATATAAGATTTCCATATAAACAGTCGTGGAAAGTCTCATATGAAAATAGTGATCAAAATATTTTACTAATTTTTTTTGGTTAAGATTTTAATAAAAGTATGTTAGAAATTATCGATCACTTTAAACCAAGAATCAAAATTACTTTGACTGAAATTGTCTGATTAATTTGGCCGGAATTAAATCTGAATTTACCAGAATCCCATTGAACCAATAATTTGAAAATTTATTTGAATTAACTAGGATAGAATTTTGTCAACATTCATTAATTCTATATTTGCTCTGAGATGTTCTGATATTGTCTCATATTTGGTTCAGTCACGACTCATAAGCGAAGTCGTTATTTACAGATTCGACGACTCATATCTACTTGAAATATTTTAAAATCTGGATAAATAAGCATTTGACTTTTTTATAATTTAGTCGGTAAGTTAACTGTTGATTATTAGTCTTATATATTAAAAGAATGAGCGTTTTATAGAGAATATTCTCAAGGAATAGTAATATGAAATAGTTTGTGATCATCAATCGAAATTCTAACGGTCCAAAATCATTATTTCATTCGCGCTTTTTTTTAAAAAAAATTCTGAATATACGTCACGCGTAAGCTGCGGAATGCATGTGAAATTGCTGTATCATGAATTCATTATTATTGATTTATTTGATTAAATTATACTGGTATAAAAAAAAAATCTTTTAGAAATTTACATTATCTTAATTAAACAGTCTTTTTTTTTTCAAAATATATTAAACATTCATTTGTAGTGTTTTGATGATATCGATTGATTCGTTACTGTGTCACAATATATTTATGGAAAATAATTGAATGAATAATTACTTAATAACAAACTAGTAAAAAAAAAGTATCAAGCATAAAATTGAGCCTATCGAGTTTTTGTAATTAAATGTTTATGGTCATGAACCATAATCAAGCATTTTTCTAAATATACATTAAAGTTAATGCTTTATCGAATCAGATTGAATTACATCCGAATCATAATTCATTATACATTCCCAATTATACATTCTCATTTACATCAAAACGCTTCCTATTAAAAAGGCATAATGGATATTCTAATATGTATAAGAAAGACACGAGAAAGTTTGACATGGTTTCCGAAAAATTATTTATATGTATAAAAGAAAAAACCTTTGTAGTTTTGTCGAATCAATGCATATGTTCGCTAGAACCTTGTGACGCAGTAGGGATGCATGTAGCTACGTCATTATACTTTACGATACATATTGTAAATCTTCTTTTGTCACTTGCCCATATACGTTTTACTTTACGCGTCATAAGGTGTAGATTAGATAAACAAACAATAGGTTGACAAAAAATCTGGATTCCTCGCTCTTTCAAAAATGTAAATCATCCTTACCTTTAGGATTAGGATAATTCTTACATTTTTCTCATGTAAATTAATTTGTAATTCAAAGTTTTTTTTTTTTTATTTTTTGACAGATAGGGAAGTCGCAGATCTTTTTTTTTTCAAAATAAATTGGTTTAGATCAATTAAATTTTTTGGTCTAGATAAAGCAATTAAAATGTGATTTAACATTAAAAAAAAAAAAAAGATGGATCAAGGAGTTCATCAAACGCATAAAAAAATTAAAATAAAAAATAAAATAAAAAAAAATTCAAATGAAACAATATCATATGTTAAAATAATTATTTTTTATTGTTATTTTTTATTTTAATTTACCTTTATTTTATCTTCACTCTTTTATTATTAACAAATCAGGAAAATACGATTGAAAATGGGATGAAAAGTAGGGGAGTTATAATAAAAAAATATATATACTGGGGAATTGTTTATGTGGGAAATTAATCACGAAGTTTTTTGGTCATGTTATATTTCGACAATGAGCAAAAAAAAAAAAAAACCTGATAATTTTGGTTACATTTGTGTCATTTCCATGGGCTCAACCTCAATTTTTACTATTAATGGTTTCACTCAAATAAGAACAAAGCTGTGTAATAAAAACATTGTTCATAAAGATTATTATAAAAAAAAAAAAAAAGAGATAATTATTTGTGAAACGGACTGATTTATTTTTATCAAATGACATCATTTGTTGAAACAAAAAAAAAAAAAAAAAAAACTCTGAATTTTTTTACGACGATTGTGGCTTACAACCGGCTTATATCACATGAATATAATCAAAAAATTATTATAAAACGTG